AATACAGAAGAGTTCCCTCATTTATCCTGTCTCTGAAACACTTCAGAGTATGTGCCGCATTCATTTTGTGTAGGCGGGCTGGTGTCTAATATATTCTGTGAACATATTTATAAAAGATTAACCTGTGCCTGGTATTCCTGAAAACTGATTTAGTTAAAATACATTTTATTCCACTTGTCTCAGCCACACACATCTTTTCATTTATCTTTGATATTAGTCATTTTCATTGGCGCATAATGTACTTTACATTACCACTATTTCTGCTATGTATGACGCAGCCTTTTTTTTCTAGCCAATACCATTCAGCAGATCATATACTATGTGTCTATGAATTTTAGTGTTTGCACTCACTAATGGGTTGGACTATAATTCTTAACAAATAGCTAACGACTTGGGATTTCATAGAATGCAGGAAGTTTAAAATTGTTTAGGAGCACTATGAAAGCATAAGGTCATGCGTCTTAACACCTGAAAAGCACCCAGGTGCAATACATGCAAGTGCACAGGCATGTGCATGCACACACACACACTTTTTATATCTATTGCAGCACAGGTGAAACTTGATTGACTGGTGACCAATTAAAAGGAAATGCTGTTTATAACAGTTATTCTGAGGAAAGGAACTGCTCACATCTCCAAGTATTTGAAGAAGGGAGCAACTTGTTAAAGGTGATGTTGGCAATTTAACTAGAAAGGTTGGGATGAAACTGAGACCATATCAGTTTGGGTTAAGTTAGACAACATTTGCTACTGGTCAGGTCTATAGGATCCCAAGGGATTCACTGGAATAACCCATCACATGAAACGTTGAAAATTACTAGGCATGGGAATGCAAGATCCCACCAGCAATGGGAAGACCCCATGATTGTCTAATTCTCTGCTTCTCTAACAAGCATGTTCTAACATCCTTCATGAGTCGGAAAAGTTCGAGTCAAACTTCCCAGAGAAACTATCTCATCCATCAAATTCCTCCTCAAAACTCACTACCTGTTTCATGACCACAGTAAGGTGCAAATTGTTATCAGCTAGTGCACTGTGATTATGGCTCCTGATTAAGATTGCATGTATCCTATTTTTTATTACTCTATCTCCCATATCCTCACTCTGACCTACTGGTTTATCTCATCCACCACTTATACCTTGTCTTCTAGATTGTACGATCTTAGGGGGTTGTCATTTTATGTATGGTTGTACAGCTCCTATCACAATGAGGACTGGCATGGTTGACCCCCTTGGAATGCAACCACAATACAAATATTAAAACCACTTCTCTCCCTAGTGCTACAGAAGCATTGAATTTACCTTAATAGGCTTTTCCCATTTCTAGTTATAGGCATTTGAAAAGCACACAATAGATCCCAATGCTGTATGTAGCATGTGGTGTCAGTCTCTGTAGTTTGCTGTTCAGGGTTTCCTGCTTTTCAGCCTAAATTAGTGCTGTTCAGCTTTAAAATTTTAAATGTGTGGCTTTTAGATTTTCAGATGAGTTTCAAACCCATTGTTATTTCTCATTGCTGTGATTTAGAGACTTATAGAAGCTTTGCAATATATTTATTTCTTTTTGTAATAATTGGTTCTTATAACTCATATTGTGAATATTAACCCTGCTCTGCATATGTTGGGAAGACAAATTGTCCTGTAAAAAACCTGGATTTGTTCTTCAACATTTTATGTATTGCATATCCAGGCAATTGATGGTATAATTGATTATAAGGTTCTTATCTTTGCACTTTGAATTGGTGGATTTCATTCAAGTTCAACCCATTTGGGCTCTGCTATTTCTTTATTTATAAGCCATGGGTCAGGCATCTTATAGAATTAGTTTTTTTTTCACTTTCAAAATATCTTATTCTGATATAAAGTAATACAAAAGCCAGCATTTTTTTTCTCAGCCTCTATCAAGAAATGTTTATAGTTCATTATATTCTGCATTGATTTACTGACCGTTTAAATGATTGAAAATGTGCCTTTTTAAATTTTTATTTATTTATTTATGCATGAATGCCAAGACATGATACTTTTGCCATGGCACATATTTTTGTTTTTTTTTTCCTTGTTTTGAATGCAGCTGAACAACAAATCCTTCTCAATTTAACATCAATGTCCTCACCTTGAGCTCTTCTGTCAAAGTATCTTTTTGATTGCAGCATAGATCTGCAATTGTATTTAATTAACTACTTCTGAGCAGCCATCAAACAGAGCAGACAAACAGTACGACTGTAGGGATATCTGAAAGAGGTTAATTTTTTTTGTCTGTTTCTAATTGTATCCTGCCACACTTGCAGCCTCACTTTGGTGTGGCATGTACTAAAACTTGCAGAACGGTGTGAGGGTTCTTTTTTAGTCTGAAACTCTTTTAGATCCCTTTCTGGCTACAGCTTCCACTCCCTTTTTATGTATGCTACATGAACACTGTATTTACACTGAATTCTGAATCTGTGCATGTTACATTTTTAGGCTGGACGGATGGAGACGGAGACACACACATATACACACACACACCACCCCCGCCTCAGGTGCTCTATGTAACTGAGGTTGTTTTAATGTCACCCTTCCACTTGATTGACAGCCATCTTCTTGAATGCACGGTACATTTTATCCTGGATTATTCCATGATTATCACTATTAGGCTGCACCTCTCCCCCCCCCCCCCTCATCATTGTAGCATTCCTTGCTTTTTTGTACTAGGATTCCCATTCCTCCCTTTTAAGATTTCTCAGCAGCTGATACTGTTACTCACTATAAAAAAAATAAAACCCCTTTTTCTTTTAAGCATGTTGTTTTCCACTCTGTGAAGGAGACTATGCAAAAATTCCGAGCATTCATGGGATATTTTCCCGTATCTATGTCTGCTTTTTCGTGTATAGCACTGTTACATTTTCCCAAGTGCAGTTTTCCATATTTTGCAATATCCTTTGTGAAATGTTGCTGCATTTGTTGAAAGCCAGGATGGGAGGGCTTGTGAGATCAGGTTTTTTTTTTTCAAATGGATCTTATAGATTTCTCTGAACTGCTGTGACTTGAGAATCAAAGCAGCAGTACATTTCTTGCTTTTATGCGACTTAACATCATCTAAGTCTCAACCATCATCTCTCCATCACAGGGTGTCTTCTCTTCCTGGGAACTATTCAGTATTGCTTCATAATAGATCACTATTAGGTAATGCAAGGCATAACTTCCACCTCAGGGACAGATATGCTGTCTAGATCCTGGGTCACAGGAATGTGACAGTTGGTGCCAAAACAAGAGACTTAATCTAGGTCTCTTGTACAGCAGAGTAAAATACTAGCCCTGGGCTACAATTCTTGCTCCTGTGAAAAACATTTTACAGGATTTGCATTAGTTTCAGAAAGCTGTAAAAAGACCACAAGAGATAATACAGACGACACAATTATTTGGTGGTCTGACATTTATCTCCTTAATTTAATCACTTGTACTTGCTGTTCCTATGGCATATTTGCTGAGCCCCTGAAGCTCAAGCTGTGCATTTATTCAGATTTTGCTCTTCACCTCCTTACCCGACCTCACCCCACTTTGAAACAGCATCTGTTTTTAAAAAAGCAAAGGTTTTTATCTTGTCTCTCAGCTGGGAACATGTCAGGCAGGGATGCAGGAGAGACAGATTTTAAAATCAGAATGAGTGAGGCCTCATCGTCTCTCACAATGTGTGTGCCAGAGAGAGGCCATCCTCCACTGATAGTAATAATACAAATTATCACAGAAAGGGTTTTCAGATGCAACCATCATCAGGTTTTATTTGCAGACTCTAATAGGAGCTACTGGTCTCTGTCACCTATATGGGTTCTATGACCAATGGAATAGTGCGGCTTGGCCATCCCTCTAGACACACCTATGCATATCTGTGAGTCACCCACCTTTCCCAACTACCCCCGCGTTTCAGCACAAAAAGCTGGCATGGAGCCCAGCTGTGTGGCATAAAGTCCCCTCCTGCACAGCAGTCTGTTTTTCAGTGATTTTACCGCACTTTATACCTATGCAAAGGATAATTCTTCATGTTCAACTCTCATAGATCTGGCAGATGTTTTAAACCATCAATGCATATTTTCACCTTCCTCTCCAGACATGAATATTGGGTCTAGCTTGACTTTCCCATACTTTTTTTAAAGAGTAGTAATGTTGTCCTTTATGAGGACAGCTTGTAATTTACCATTACTGCTTCATTTCCCCATGGTAATGCTTATTGTCTTCAAGACAGTTGTCTATAAAAGGCTCTACAATACCTTCATGGTGTTCCATGCTCTGGTCAATCAGCTCCAAAATCTACCTCTGGTACGTCATGATTTTCCTCCTGTGATTAACAAAATATCTTCCTCCCCTCTTCCTCCAGGAATCTGAAATGGACTCAGAGGACTGGTTTGGACTTGTTTTGCTTTTTGGCACTCTCTGCTGCTATGCCTGGCAGAGCTGTGCTATGCCTTGGCTGGCTGTACAGAGGTGGCACAGTGCAGGCTGGAGAGACCAGTTCTGAGTTACGATGGCATCAGTAAAGGTCGACAGCACCCAGAACTCCTTGGGGGGCTTCTAGCTGGTGGCAGTGGAAGCTGGCAGAGCTTCATTTTCCCCTTCTGTCCGTTCTTGGGAGTGTTTCAAAGGCATTTAGCCAGATATCTTTATAAACAAATGACATCAGTGAATTTTTTTCTTCGTTGTTCAATTTTCACTCCGTTGTGCAGTAAGATACCTATCACTGGCCCTAGTCTAATGCATGTTTCTGGAAACGGTGCCCTGTTAATGCTACCCATCACAGCTGCAGACCTGAGTGTATCAGGATCAGCACTGTCTGCTTTCTCTGAAACATCTCCTCCACGTTTCTTTGCCCTTAATACAAAGAGCTGTGCAACGGCTACCACTGGAGTCTGACCCTTTCCCCTACATGTGCCTGACAAGGTATTTGTTATCTATTAACATTATGAATCATGACCCAAACAAAAGACCCGAGTCCAAGCATAGTCTTTTGCGTGGTAGATCCTACGTGCTGCAGCTCTCTGCCCAGCCACTTTCAAGAGCATTCACAGCTTGATTTGAAAAAAGAAAGAAAAGCGAGAACTAGAACATTGCAGAAATCATCTAATGTCTCCAACAAGAGCAAGGTAAATATGAAATATTTTTGCTATTCACACTAGTGTTAATATTGAGCTGCAAAAAGCTATCCTGTTTTACACAAGAGAGGCAGGATATTTTCAGGGAAAATATCCTTTCGTTCATGTTCTGTTTTTCTGATGGGCACGAAGCACCATCCGTTCTGATTGACTGTTGGCATGCAACTTACTACTGAGCTAGACTGTATGTTGATGGATAAGCCAGTCTCATCCAAATGTCAGGAAGATTATATGAAAAAAAGAGAGAGCTGTCTGTAGTTGCTCCATCTCTGAGGAGATTGCCAACTCACCCTAACAAAAGAAAACATTAGTGTGCTATTTGCGTCTCACAAAGAGACTGTGATAAGATGACATGATAAATGATAGAGAGCTTCCCCCCACCCCCAATAAAAACACATAAGGTAGCTAAATCAAGAAGTGTAAAGAATATCTTGACTCTTTGAATTGGGGTGAGCCATTTATTAAAAATAAAAAGGTGAAATTGTCAGAAAAAAGAGTGCTGTTTTCTACATTTCTTAAATTAATTCCAATTACATTATTTAGGGGAAATACAGTTGTATACAATGAATATTCTAAGAGCCGCTCTTTCCATGGCCAAACAAAATTATACGGGCAAGCAGGCTAGGAGTTTCCCCATTTGTTTGTATTAATGGCTATTTGAATGCCCAAATTCTAAAAGTATTAAGTACAAATATGAATATGTGTATTTCTAATTGGCAAAATTGGAGCCTGCTTTCAAAGTTCCAGACTAACGGTCATACCTTTAAAATCCAGTCATAGAATGATGTGCATTAGCCACAACTTTACATATAAAGCACTTGCTCCAACTACTGGTTAGGCAACTAGAAAGCCACTTAGACATGCAAACGTGATCTGAACATGCATTAAATCCGAACACAGCAGGTATGTTACTGAATTGACATTTCTGTATGTAAATATCAAGCCTCCCTTTGAGATCCTTTGGCCTTAAATATTTAAGATCGGTAAATGTTATTACACCTATTGGTCATACACAATGAATAGTAATTATAAAAAAGGAGAGGATTATAATACAAAACTCTGCATGTTAGTTATGAACTACTGCTACATTCTTATGTTAGTATTCCTGGTACACTCATTGAACATACAAGGTAGGACAGCATGTATCAGCCTAATTTTAAACTTGGGTATGTATTGAGACTGAACCCTATCCAATGCCTGATGATTATCTTCTAGTGATGGTTAAAAGCATGATCTATTTAAGTATCTCTCAGCTGCCATAGATATTGTGGACCACTAGCAAATTTGATTTCACCTAGCAGAGTGACCAGACCTCATGGTGGACTTGAAAGGGTTCATGTTTTTCCATCTCTCAGGGTATGTCTACACTACACAGAAGATTGAAGCTGCTGTTGTTAATCTTCCATGGTTCAAATTAGAGGGTCTAGTGAAGACACACTAATTCGAACTGAAAGGGTGCTCTGTTTGTAGTAGTTTGTAGTAGTAGTAGTAGTTTGCGGTAGTCCTGTGGAAGGGAAGTCAAAGGAAGAGTGTGCTCCCTTAGACTTTCTGCATTGTGGACAGTGCCAAAATTCAAGTTCTTTGATTTCAGCTACACCATTAGTTGTGATCTTAATTCGACTTTATCTCATAGTATAGACATACCCTCAGAGAGTTCCCAAAGTGGGTATAATCTTCTAACCTAAGGATTGCCTCATGTGCATTCCCAAAATAACACCTCCTAAATGCAGACAATTCCTATATGCAGCATACGCAATGGAGTCTTTACTTAGATTGGATCATCCCCTGAGGCATGTAAGCGAAGTACGCATACCTCCAAATCTAAGGCTTTATCTGCACTACACAGCTTTTCGTCAACACAACCGTGTTGCTAAAAGTCAAGCAATGTAACCACTGCATGTCAGCTCTTTTAATGACAAAATACTTCCACGTTTTAGCATATTTATTCTCTCACATTATTGAAAACAAACCAGTATATATGGGGAGTGTCCTGCTGTTTTTGAGGTAATGTCGGATTTCTTCTGGAAGTTTCTCCTGCATGCTATCTAGTATGCCTTTGCCTTCAGAGCTCCTGGTCGCAACTGCTGCAGCCCCAGGGCCCTTTGAAATGCTGCCAGAGCTCTGGAGTGCAGATCTGCATGACTCCAAGGGTTGGGGGGACGGGGCACACTGCAGTCTAGGTGGCACTAAGGGCTGATTGCCCTTGACCTATCCCTTCCGCCCAAAGCCCTGCAGTGCTGGAGCTGGTCCTCCACACACACCTTTTCCCAGGGCCCACAATGGCTGTTGGCCCAGCTGCATAGAAACTTTATGCATTCAGTAGTTCTATCAATTCTTATGGGACTAATCTTACTGTATAACGTTAACTACATACATAAATCTTAGCAGGATTAGGGCCAACACCAAAATGTTAACTACCATGCTGGCTAACTCCAGCATGTCCTTTGGAATATAAGACCTCTTAATGTATATGCTTACAGTAATTGGAAAGACTGAATACAAAGAAGAAAGTCACAGTCTGAGTATCTGACAATTGACTATTACTTTGCATCTTGCAGTGGTGTTGTAGTTTTGTTAGTTTCAGGATAGGAAAGAAACAAGATAGGTGAAAGTGAAATCTTTTATTGGACCAAACCCTGTTGGTGGAAGGGACAAGCTTTAAAGCTTCTCAGAGTATGTTCTCAAGTTACCACTTCGCCAACCATGTCATATTGTTGTACTACGTTGTACTCCTTGTGTGATTTGCCCCAATCACACAATTGTGTGTGAGAGGGGTGGAGAATTTCAGCTGCTTCTGTAGCACTAGCTCCCACTTCCTCTCTGGACTCAAAGCGCTTGGTATGTCTGGGAACTGGCATGTAAGGCAAAAGAAAATCAAGCCCACCAGAAATCAGCTCAGGAGTTCTTCCAGCTCCTCTTAACTGAGGTAACCCCCTGAGAAGAAGGCAGGAATATCATAGAAGGCTATTGACAGGAGAAACTAGAATATTTGAGAGAATCGGGCACTCACAGAGCTAGTGTAGAAGTACATCCACACAGATATACTTAGCTACCTTTGAATCCCCCATAGTATTTGGAGGCTTTTTCTTTAGTAGTGGGAAGGGAGCTGAAACAAACCTTACTCTCCCTTCTCTGTATCAGTTTGGAGGAACCTATGCAAGAATGCTTCACAGGGTTTTCCTACAGAGAGGTAAGCTCTGGGATACAGTTCATGGAAAAATGGAATGCTGCAGCTTGACAAAGCATTCTAAATAGCAGAGTCCTACAAAAGTATAATAAGACTCAAAAGAGATTGTTGTATGATTCAAAACAGTGTTTAATATATTCAGATTTCTTTTATGTATCACTTAGACTGTAGATCGTTTTCCTGCATTACAAATTTCAAATCAAACCTTTTTGTAAAGCCGTACAAAACAGCTTTTCCTGGTGAAACCAAAGAGCCGGCAGAAAAAAACAAACAAGCGGTAGGTACACCATCTTGTGAAGGGTTTGCAATCTGTTTTTACTAACCTTTCCTTCCCCAGTAATCGAATTCATGGATTGCAGTTCCAACAGCTTATGGAACAGTTTGTCTGTAGTCACTGTCAAAAATTCAATCTCTGCCTTTGGGGGCAGGCCACAGTGGATGGGGCTTTCAGGGGGTAACATTTCATCAGTGTATTTATGGTACCATTGATAATCCAGGAGCACAAATTCAGGAGCAAGACATAGCTGCTTGTCAAACTGTCAAAAAATAAAATAAAATAATATAAAATAAAAGCCCAAACCATAAGTGACTTCTTGCTAAACAGAAAAAGGAACCTACCTTGCTACATACCAAATTATTCTGTTATGGAGCCATAGCTGAGAATGACATGACTTAACAGTTTATGTCCATGAAAATTAATCCAATTGGCTTCATATTTTAATTATCTGCTTTAGATCATACACACATATTGATATTCAAAAGATAAAAACTACACACATTTGCAAAAAAAAAAAAAAAAAACCCACACTCCACATTACTCTTCAGTTAGCAAATAACCTGCAGATCATTTTAATTTAAAAAATAAAGGGATAGAAATATTTTAAAATAAAAATATCGTTTCTTCCAAATTACAAAGTGTTGCTCTCTGGCTTAACATTTTTATCCTTAACATTTTATCAATATATTAAGTAAAGCAATTTATAGTAGTATCTCTGAAAAGTGCCATACTGTCTTGAAATGAAAGCCAATAAAAGTGTAAGGATTGCAAAATAGAGAGGCAGGCTTTTTTCTTCTTCAGGTTATTACCAAAATGCATATATTGTCTATTTGACAATCAATACATTCCATACAATAAAATGGAGCTATGGTCTAATCATCATGATATCCTTTCAGATGGTTTGCTGAGAATCAGATTTTGTCCTTTATGGTAAAATTGTTTAATTCAGTATCATATGTTCATAAGCTGTAATTCTGCTCTGTCTAAAAACTGCTATGCAAATATTTTAGGCTCACTAGACATTTAAAACAACAGACAGGTGGGAGTGCAGTTATTTATTTACATTTGTACTGACTTAAAATTCAAAATGCTATTTGATGCTTTTGAAGTATTACTGTGGGATGCTAAATTACTACTGAATTCTTACAGTTTTGTGATACCTTTCAACCTGCCAAGAAACATAATGATGCTGATGCTGATAACAACAATAGCAGTAGTGCAGGATCCTTAAAATAATGTGGAGCTCATTTCTGATAGATAAATACCATTTTCTCTAAATTGAGGTTTGTGATTCAGCATTTGTGCTGCACATAATTCCCCCCCTCCCAGGTTTATGGGGGATGGAAACAATGTTCCTTCTAATTTTTTCCATTCACGTGCAGAATAAATTTTATGTCCAGTGAGGTATGTACAGATGTGCACCATGAGTAGAGACACATGCTGCTGGCTGTGGGCATTGTGGGTGCTCTTTTAATCAGCTGGGCAGCACCTAAACCTCCCCTGGGTGGCCACCCAAGTGCTCAGCTT